TAGTCCTCTTGAAGGTCTCTCCTGGTATGTTTCTAGTCCTCTTGAAGGTCCCTCCTGGTATGTTTCTAGTCCTCTTGAAGGTCCCTCCTGGTATGTTTCTAGTCCTCTTGAAAGTCCCACCTGGTATGTTTCTAGTCCTCTTGAAGGTCCTTCCTGGTATGTTTCTAGTCCTCTTGAACATTCTTGTCCACTTGAAGGTGGCTCCTGGCATGATTCTAGTCCTATGTTCCTAGTCCTCGTGAAGGTCCCACCTTGGAATGTTTCTAGTCCTCCTGAAGGTCGCTCTCTGTGACAGCTTGTGCAGAACAGAGGATTACAAGGAAGCCACATTCTCACAACACGCTCCAACAACCGAAGGAATTGTTTCCTCTCCAAGAGGCCAAACTAAGTTAGGTAGTTTGATGTAACTTTTCTGTGGCTTAGACTGGATCGTTAACTTCTCGAACCGAATAGTCACAGGCTGAATACCCGCGTTCAGCCAGTGGTGGTAGGAAACCAACTGTTGGGAAGGGAAATCCATCTGGTTCAGTTCCAAACTGGGAGAAAGGAAGACTCTGGAAACGACATGGAGACCGATTGGAAAGAAGGTTTACTGATGAAGCAGCAGAACCACCCACAGCATGCGGTTCTGGGGCAGCTGAGCAAACGGTTGAACGAGTGGATGGATCTTCATAGGTTTCTGTGACTTTTGAAGTTTGAACTGTTCTTGGGGTGGGGCAACGAAGGGGACTTGTGTTCTGAAAGGATGTTGGGCAATTCCTATCGTGGCTTAACGGCTTTCGTCCTGTGTTTGGATCTTTTGGGCGAGGGGCTGCTTGTTCTAATCCTACCATTCTGCCTTGGTTAGCGGTCAAACTTTGCTGCGAAGGAGTTTCGAAATATCCTTGTCTTGAATGGGTTTCCGGCTGGCAGCATTTTGCTTTGCTTATGAATTGAGCCATCTAGACAGTTGGCTTTCTTTCTTTCTTTTTCTTTCTTTCTTTTTCTTTCCTCTTAATTTCTTTTTCTTTCTTTCTTTCTCTATCTTCTTAATTTCTTTCTTTCTTTCCTCTTTCTTTCCTCTTAACTTTCTTCCTTCCTTCCTTCCTTTCCTTCCTTCCTTTCCTCTTAATTTTTTTCTTTCTTCTTTCTTTCTTCCTTCTTTCTTTTCCTCTTTCTTTCCTCTTAATTTCTTTCTTTCTTTCCTCCTTCTTTCCTTTTAGTTTCTTTCTTTCTTTCCTCTTAATTCCTTCCTTCCTTCTTTCCTTCCTTCCCTCCCTCCCTCCCCCCTTCCTTCCTTCCTTCCTTCCTTCCTTTTTCTTTCAGCTGTTTATCTCCTTAAGGGCTGGCATCTGCTGTGGGCTATTAAGAAAGATAATGGATGTGGGGGGGTGGGGGGTTGCTTCCTGCCTCTAAAAACAAGTTTCTCTATTTCTTCCTTTGGGGAAATAAAATATTCTGCCTTTTTAAAATATATATATATATATATTTCCCAAAATATTTCACTCTTCTGGGCTGGGAAAGTTGAGAGTTTGGCGACGGTCCCTCCTGCGGGGTTTTGATATATATATATATATATATATATATATATATTTGTGCGCTTAGGGTGGAGAGCGGCGTTTGGAGGCGCTCCCTTCGTTTTGTCTTGCCCGCCGTTCTTCTACACGTGGGAATTCCCGGCCGGCTGGTTCCGGGGCAAAGCAAGCACGTGGGAACGGGGCGTTTGCACCTCCCTCGCCTTTCTCGCAGGTAGAGATCGTGGGTTTAAACGCAGTCCGTCCAAAGGGCAACGGTCGCCCTTTGTGTGCATGTTTGGAAAGGCAGATTGGGGGAGCAACGAGTGGGGGGGCGCAAATCTTGCAAATTGGGGTGAAGAAGGCGGGGGGGCACGGCCCTTCTCGGGTCAGCGACGGTCGTTTGAAATCCCAGCCCCCAGGTCAGCCGGGGACACGGACACACATACACACACCACTGGCGTTTATTTTTAGGCACTTTTGCAAGGCGGAAGCTTGCAAAAAAACAACAACGTGAGAGGTTATTTTGCTTTCTTCTGGCCTCGCCTGCAATTGCTGGGGTCGACCACAAGGGGGCGGACGAATGCCAAAAATGCTGTCTATCTGTCTATCTTTTTCTTTCTTTCTTTCCTTCCCTTCTTTCTCCTTCCGTCTCTCCATTTCTTTTCCTTCCTTCTTTTCTTCTTCTTTCCTTCCTTCCTTTCTCCTTCCACCTCTCCATTTCTTTTTCTTCTTTCCTTCCTTTCTTTCTCCTTTCGTCTCTCCATTTCTTTTCCTTCCTTCCTTTCCTTCCTTTCTTCTTTCTTTCCTTCCTTTCCTCCTCCTTCCATCTCTCCATTTCTTTTCCTTCCTTCCTTTACTTCTTTTCTTCTTCCTTCCTTTCTTTCTCCTTCTGTCTCTCCATTTCTTTTCCTTCCTTCCTTTCCTTCCTTTCTTCTTCTTTCCTTCCTTCCTTTCTCCTTCCGTCTCTCCATTTCTTTTCCTTCCTTCCTTTCCTTCCTTTCTTCTTTCCTTCCTTCCTTTCTCCTTCCGTCTCTCCATTTCTTTTCCTTCCTTCCTTTCCTTCCTTCCCTTTTTACTCTAATTATTCCTTCATCAAATGAGGAGTACCAGCAGAACCTAGGTATCCATCGATGCAGGATACTTTAATTTAAATTCTTGCACCGAGCAGAAGTTAGACTGGATGGCCTCAAGGATTCCTTATTGCTTCCAACTTTCTTTCATCATCTCTCTATCTCTCTCTATCACCTCCATCTCTCTTTCTCTCTTCCTCTTCCTCTTCTTATCTTCTGTTCTTTTCTCTCTGTGGACTTCAACTCCCAGAATTCCCCAGCCAGGGTGCTTTAAGATGGGTGGACTTCAGTTCCCAGAGCATGCTGGCTGGGGAATTCTGGGAGTTGAAGTCCACCCACCTTTAAAGTTGCCAAGGTTTAGAAACACTCTCATACAATATTATTCTTCTTTCTAACATTGTCCCCTTTCCGTGCAGTGTACCCCAAACCACTTACCAAGCCATAAATCCATTCTTCTTCTCAGCCCTGGCAGGACGGATGGCATCAGCGCTGCCCCCCAATTTCTCTTGGGTCGTCTCAGGCTTGTTGGCTGGGCTGGCTATGCCCCGGCTCCCTGCTCACTACCAGTATATGCATGACCATGGGATCCGGCACCTGGTCTCGCTAACCGAGCGGAGCCCGCCTTACCACGACACCTGCCCGGGCATCCAAGTGCACCGTCTACGCATTGCCGACTTCTGCTCCCCCTCGACCGAACAGATCCAGCGGTTTCTGCAGATTGTGGAAGACGCCAACGCCAAGGGGGAGGTAAGGGGGTTTTGGGTATCTCGTTATGGGTGTGTCACCCCTGCGAGGTAGGCCTGTCCAAGAAACGGACATGGCAAAGATTTCTAAGAACATTACAGTTCTCAACTTGTTAGTTTTAAGACGGGTGGACTTCCACTCCCAGAATCCCCCAGCCAGCATGCTTTAAGAGGGGTGGACTTCAACTCCCAGAATCCCCCAGCCAGCATGCTTTAAGAGGGGTGGACTCCAATTCCCAGACTAAGAGCCACGCTGACTGGAGAATTCTGGGAGTTGAAGTCCACACCTTTAGGGTTTTTTAAAAAAAACATTATTTTGGACAGTACCGATAGTCCGCAAGTTACAACGATTCATTTAGTGACTGCTTTTATATTCATTTTCATTTTATATTTCTTTCTCACTGTTTTTGCTTTTCTCTTTGCTTTGCTTTTTCCATTTGCTCGCCTTCATTTTTATCTTCCTTTTTTTTTAAAAAAAAAAAAGTCGTAATGAAAATTACACTGAAAAACCAACAAAAGGAAATACGTTGACATGCGTTTTTTTGGGTTTTTTTCCCTTTGTCAGGCTGTGGCTGTTCACTGTTTGCTGGGCTTCGGACGGACGGGAACCATGTTGGCCTGTTACCTTGCCAAGACCCACAAAATCGCCGGAGTGGACGCCATCCAAAAAATCCGCCAGCTGCGGCCGGGCTCCATCGAGACTTACGACCAGGAGAAAGCCGTCATCCAATTCTACCAACGTACAAAGTAGCCGCGGGAAAGGACGAGAATTTGCCCGTGTGAAAGTACGCGACGATTGTGTCTCTTCCAGCTCCTTTCGGGGGTGGGTGGGTGGAGAAAAATAAACTAGCTTTAGAGAGAGAGAGTGGATCCAGCCGGGGATCCAGTCCAATTGGAATCCCAGACATACCTTTATCGCTTTATTGTATCTGTCGGTTCTCTCCAAGTTGTTGTGAGTTGCGAAGTCGTGTCCGACCCATCGCGACTCTATGGACGACGTTCCTCCAGGCCTTCCTGTCCTCTACCATCCTCTGGAGTCCATTTAAGCTCCGGTCGACTGCTTCCATGACTCCATCCAGCCACCTCCTTCTCTGCCATCCCCTTCTTCTCCTTTTGCCCTCCATCGTTCCCAGCATTGGGCTCTTCTCCAGGGAGTCCTTCCTTCCTTCTCCTTAGGTGGCCAAAGGATTTGAGTTTCCTCTTCAGGATCTGGCCTTCTAGAGAGCAGTCAGGGTTGATCTCCTCTAGGACCGACTGGTTGGATGGCCTTGCAGTCCAAGGGACTCGCAGGATCTTCTCCAGCACCAGAGTTCAGAGGCCTCCATCCTTTGGCCTTCTCAGCCTTCCTTATGGTCCAATCTCTCCAAGTTAGTTGACATTAACTTTTTTTTTTTTTCGCAAGAGTGAAGCATTTACAGCTCTGGTGCCGTTTTGCAAAACTTAAAACTCCGTCCCACCGTTGAAAAAGAGCCTCCTTCGTAAACCTGGCCCGTTGTGTCTTTGGATGGAGGAAAAGTTAAATATTAGGAGGGAAATGATTCAAGACTGTGCGAGAAAATCCTGAATGTTAAGGTTTAGAGTCTCGAGTTTCAGGGAGGGAAAGTTTCTGGTTAACGTTTCTGAGCTTGACGATAAAGAAAGCCATTCTAATAATAATAATAATAATTAATAAAAAAATACCAGATAGTGTTTCTGCCTGCCTGGTTATTTGTTTACTGATTTGCAGGTTGTCCTTGGCCGTCATAAGGCTCGCGAGTCGTTGCGGTCGTTAAGCGGGTCGCCATGTGATAAGGACTGGTTTTGTGACCTCGGTTGTTTAAAAAAAAAAAAAAACCTGCAGCGGTTGTTAAATGAACAAGGTGGGCATTCAGTGAATCCGTTTTATCCAATTTATTTGACAGCGGCCCTGAAAACCTCGGACTTACCACCGTTTTTCACCTTTATGACCGATGCAGCGATTTTGATCACGGGATCGAAATTTGGATGCAGGGCAATGGATTCGTATTTATGACGGTCGCAGTGTCCCACGTGATTCTCTTTTGCGACCTTCTGACAAGCAACGGGGAGGCCCGATTCGCTTAACAACCGTGTGACTGACTTAACAACTGCAGGCATTCAACTTAGCAACCCGGGCAAGGAAGGTCGTAAAACGAGGCAAAACACGCTTAACACGTGTCTCGCTTAGCAATGGAAATGGGCTCAATGGTGGCCGTAAATCGATGAACAATGGGTGAAGGAAGGAGGGAAGGGATTGGAGAAGGAAGAAGGAAGAGTAGGAAGGAAGGAGAGAATTGGAAGAGGGAGGGAGAAAGGAAGGAAGGAGAATTGGAAAGGGAAGAGGGAGGGTAGATGGATGGGAGGGTGGGAGATTGGGAGGGACAGAAAAAGGGAAGGAAGGGAAGGAAAAGAAAAGGAAGGAGAATTGGAGAAGGGGGAGGGAGAAAGCAAGCAAGGAGGAATTGGAAGGGGAAGAGGGAAGGAGGATGGATGGATGGGAGATTGAGAAAGTAGAGAAAAGGAAGGAAGGGAAGGAGGTCCCTTCTGGTTGCAGCAATAACTGTTGTGGACCAAGAGGGCAGATTTGACTCTAGGGCTGCCTGGGGCCAATCCTGCATTTTAAAATAGAATAGATTAACAAGAGTTGGAAGGGACCTTGGAGGTCTTCTAGTCCAACCCTCTGCTTAGGCAGGAAACCCTATAAACCAGTTCAGACAAATGGTTATCCAACATCATCTTAAAAACTTCCAGTGTTGGAGCATTCACAACTTCTGGAGGCAAGTTGTTCCACTGGTTAATTGTTCTCACTGTCAGGAAATTTCTCCTTAGTTCTAAGTTGCTTCTCTCCTTGGTTAATTTCCACCCATTGCTTTTTGTCCTGCCTTCAGGTGCTTTGGAGAATAGCTTGACTGCCTCTTCTTTGGGGCAGCCCCTGAGATATTGGAAGACTGCTATCATGTCTCCCTTCGTCCTTCTTTTCATTAAACGAGACATACCCAGTTCCTGCAACTGTTCTTCATATGTTTTAGCCTCCAGTCCCCTAATCCTCTTTCTTGCTCTTCTCTGCTCTTCTTTCCAGAGTCTCCACATCTTTTTTACATTGTGGTGTACATTTTAGCTCTTCCAGAATTCAGAGGGGTGTGTGTGTGTGTGTGTGTGTGTGTGTGAAATGAATAAAACACCAGTCCTTCTTTTCCTACGTTGCCCTAAAAATCCATCCCTGTTTGGGCCCAGCGGGGATCAAGTACCGGCAGGTCCCCCCCCCCCAGCGCAGCCTCTCCGGGGAGGGATCCGGTGTCTCCTGCGCAGAGACCTGGATTATTTTAAAAGCCCCCTTCAAGCCATATCTTGTTTCCACCTCTCCAAGGTGCTGATTATAAAAGGATGGAGGAGGGGGGAGATAATCTCGTCTTTTGGGATACCCTCAGCCCAGGAATGTTGGCTTCCTGCCTCGGGAGGTTTGGGGTGGGGGTGGGAGGGCCAAAAAAATGAAGGAAACGGGTCTGGGTGGGGTTTGGAAGCAACAGGTGGGGTATTAAATGACTTCGTTGTATGGCTCCTTGCATTCGGTCACGGTGCATCCGTGGTGGTGGGAGGGACGGGGACGCCACAGTGCATTATCATGGCCTGCTCTGGGAAGGAAGAGAAAAGAGAGGGAGAAGAAAGAAAAGAGAAGAAAAAGAAAGAGGGAGGGAGGGAGGGAAAAAGAAAAGGAGGGGAGGAAGGAAGGAAATGAAGGGAGGAAAAGGGAGGGAAAAAGGAGAAGGAAGGAAGGAAAAGGGGGAAGGAAAAAAGGAGGAAGGAAGGAAAAGGAGAGTAAAAGAGGAGAGGAAGGAAGGAAAAAGGGAAGGAAGAAAGGAAAAGGAGAGGAAAAAAGGAGGAAGGAAGGAAAGGAAGAGGAAAAAGGAGGAGGAAGGAAGGAAAGGAAGGAAGGAAAAGGAGAGGAAGGAAGGAAAAAAGGAAGGAAGGAAAGGGAGGAAAAAAGGAGAAGGAAGGAAGGAAAAGGGGAGAGGAAAAAAGGAGGAGAGAGGAAGGAAGGAAAAGGAGAAGGAAAAGGAAAAGGAAGGAAGGAAGGAAAAGGGGAGAGGAGAAAGGGAGGAAAAAAGGGAAGGAAAAGGAGAAGTAAAGTAAGGAAGGAAAAAGGAAGAGGAAAAGAGGAGGAAGGAAGGAAAAGGAGAAGGAAGGAAGGAAAAGGGGAGGAAAGAAGAAAAGGAAGAGAAAGGAGGAGGGAGGAAGGAGAAGGAAAAGGGAAAGGAAGGACTACTGAAACATGAAAAACTACCGTGTACTTTTGCCCCAAACGAAAGGGTTCAACTCCCAGAATTCCCCAGCCAACCCTTTATTTAAGCCGCTGGTGACCCTTTTCATTGATATATGTGTGTGTGTGTGTGTGTGTGTGTGTGTGTGTTTCATTTATACTTCCTACATGTTAACCAAGCACCCCACTTCATTTCAACTGCAACTGGTGGTTTGCAACCTTTAGCCATTTTCCAAAATGTGGGGGAATTCTGGGGACTCGAAGTCCACCGGCCTTAAAAGTTGCTGAAAGTTGAGAAACAAAAAAACAAACAAAACATTTGATTTAGTGGAACCGCTCCAGAATTTCTGCCCTCCCCCTCCCCGTGGGAAGGGGGGAAAAAACTACACATCCCAGACACCTTTGCGACATAAAAACCCCTCCCCCTCCCCAGGTACCAAGACACGCCCCCTCCCTTTCCATCTCCCCCCCCCTCCCTCCCCACCTTTTAAAGCACCCAGGTCCTGCCTTTGTCCTCCCGGCGATTGGTCCATTTGGAAGGCGCAAGGAGCCCTTTTGGGCACGCGATTGGCCGTTGCCCTGGGCAACCAAGAGGCTGGGGGAGTGGGGGGGTGAGGGAGTGGGGGGGAGGGAGTGGGGGGAGCAAAGCCAAGCCCCCGCCCCCTCCATTGTGTTGGGAAGTTTTCTCCCTTGGACGGGATGGAGTTTCCACTTTTTTGAGCGCCCTGCTTGGTTTCTAGAACCGGCAAGAAAGCGAAAGCGAGGAGCAAACAGATGCGCAAAAAAAGAGGAGTGGGTTTGCGCTTCGGAGCAGCGGCGGAGTAAATTGCACGGAGCGCAAAAGCGGCCGGGCGCCCGCGGGCGCCGCGTTGCAAAAGGGCGCACGGAGCGCCAAGTTAAGCCCCCTCCTGCGGCGCTTGCAGAGACCGTGGATGGCTGCGGCGGATCGGATTCGGTGGCTGTCCGGACCGGACCGAGAGCCCTGGCCGGGAGTGAGCATCTCCCGGCGGAGGCAAGCAGGTAAGATTCCCCCGCCCCCCCAGCAGCGATCCTAATCCCTCTGAGCTTCGTGTGAACCACCAGACCCGTGCAAAACCTCGCTTATGCAAAGAAACTCGCGTGTTTGCCTGACCTTTGGAGGGGGGGGAAAGGGGCTAAAACCCGGGTTTAAGCGTCTCATCCATCCCAGAGAAGGAAAGAAGCAGATTCCCCCGAGATTTCCCTAAGTTTTGGAGCAGTAGCGTCCGCCGCCTCAATGAGGACCAGTCTCTTGAAATGCCTCCTTAGGGTTAGCTGGCCGCTTCAGCCGGACTCCTGGAGTGGGTTGATTGATTTCCCACGGAGCTATCGAGAAGGGTAGCCACGCAAGTGGGATCCCGAGAGACATCGGGGTGGGTGGGAGTTGGGGTATCCGACGTAACTCCGTTCACACGAACGCATTCGCACCTGCTTTCTCCGCTTCCCTGCATCCCCGCAGCCCGTTTTGTTTGCTTGTGGTTGAAACTTTGTTTATTATGAAATGTATCTGCGATCCCATCTCGACTTGGAAGCTGCTTAATCGGGGTCAAATCATAAAGATAAAAAAAAAAAGCATTAAAAAGCATTTTAGCCGTCAAGAGGCTGCCCTTTTATTTTATTTATTTATATTTATTGTATTTTATTTATTTATGCATTGCCTTTATAGAAGTCCTGCCAAATAGATCCGATTTATTTATTTAACGTTATGCCCAACGTGGCACTGGATCTCCTTGTACCAATGAATGAACCCACCTTCGCTTATCTAAAGAGGTTGGGTGAATTTATTGGGCCCCTGCTAGAATTCCCATATTTTCCTCCTCCTCCTCCAGAAACCCTGGACTACAATTCCCATTGCTCCTTCCAGCCCCCAGTCTGACTTGCGTCCTCCTAGGTTTAAAAAAAACTCCCAGGAAAAGGGACTAAGAGAGGATGGAGAGAAGAAGAAGAAGAAAAAGAAAAAATCCTGATTTTTCAGGACCATTGTTTTGCAAAACAAAACTTCTTCTTCTTCTTCTTCTTCTTCTTATTATTATTATTATTATTATTATTATTATTATTATTATTTAATCTTTAGTGAGATTCACAGCCTTTGAGGCTGGTTAATAGCTCAGCAGCTCGAGTCCTAACCAAGGACCTAGGAACTGTTAAGGTATTGTCGGAGGATGTAAGCTGTTCCGAGTAAGGTGGTTGTTTATTATTATTATTATTATTATTATTATTATTATTATTATTATTATTATTATTATTATTGGTTAATCTTTAGTGAGATTCACAGCCTTTGAGGCTGGTTAATAGCTCAGCAGCTCGAGTCCTAACCAAGGACCTAGGAACTGTTAACCGGGACTTGCAAATTGAAGTTGAGCAACTGTGGATTTTGTGGAAAAATAAATCATGTGTTGTCCTGATTGTAATTGGAGC